TTTTTGTATTTTTTTAGTAGAGATGGGGTTTCACCATGTTAGCCAGGATGGTCTCGATCTCCTGACCTCGTGATCCGCCCTTCTCGGCCTCCCAAAGTGCTGGGATTACAGGCTTGAGCCACCGCGCCCAGCCAAGAGCATTCTTTTACCTCTTGACTGGCGAACTCCATCCTGTCCAGCAATGAAGTAGACCCCAACAGCAAGGAAGAAAACGCTGATGATTTCAGCTAAGACAAAGCCCAATATGGTGGCTGCATTTAGTTCAATGCAGTTCTGACACACTGTGGGGAAAAGGAGACAAACCTTCAGGGTGTGAAAGTTGTTTTTCCTGGATCTTTTTCTCCTGCCTATCAGCAATAATGCCCCTGTGGAGGGCAGCAGGCTGTTCCTTTGTGGGTGGCAGGGCAAGGGAAGGTCCTTGCGCCAAAACTCAATGCATCTTGATGTTCCTCAGTCCCCCAGGATTCCTGGGGAAGCCCATGGAGTATGTGGAACAAAGACTAGATGCTCTTCATGCTCCACTGTGCTCTAGTCCTCACTGCTGCTCACCTCATGATCGCCCCTGTCTCCCCAACCCCTTCATTCAACTCAGTTTATAGAAGGTGCTGAATTGCTCGAATGCATGGAGCCCATCCAAAAGTAAAAAAGTTTTACAGGACTGGCTGTGCTTTTTCAAAGAGGGCGAGGGAAGTATCTTATAGTATTTCAAAAGAGGCAAGCTGAAATTAAGAGAACCGGCGATAATCTCACTGTTGAGGATCTATTTCCACTTTCACTCCAGACAAAAAGCTCACCAGAGCAGCAAATACTGATTAATTTCATGACAAACAGACCAAAGGGGATTACATACTTCTGTAATACACTTGGAGTGTTTTTGACTTGTCCTTTGATCCTTTACACTGATACACCCCTCGAGGGTCCTTGGTATTACTTCCCAGATTCCATTTATTTTTATGTGCAGTTAGGATGTCTATCATCTTCCCTTCTTTAAACCATGTGATATTTGTGTTTTTCACATGACAAGTCAGAAGTACTGAACCATCTTCTTGGTTATACACGTTAAGCTTGCGGTTTTCTGAAATGAGAAAAGCCATGGTTCCATTAAGGATCTTGCCTCTGAAATTCTCCCTGCTCCTGCATACCAGGAGATCATTAGAGTAGCGTTTCACAAACTTTGATGTGCACATGAATCACATGGGGGATCTTGTTGAAATTTCAGGTGCTATTTAGTAGTTCTGGGGAGGGGAGATTCTGCATTACTAACATGCTCTCAGGTGACGCCAATATCTGCGTCAGGGGATGAAGAATAAAAGAGACATTGCTGTAATTAGCAGGGGTAAAACTTTGGGATTTGGGGGCATGTTATTTGGAAGGTACTATACAGGTAAGAAACTGCTAACAGCGTACCAGATGATGAGATCACTTTGGGTAGAATAGATGAAATAAAGAGAAGGATTGACAGAGACTGAGGTCAGGATCCCAGGTGACGCCAAAACCTGATGGTTCATGGGTCACAGTTTGAGATGTGTCTAGCTACTAGGGTCCTGTTTCTCCTGTAAGAGACCAGTTAAATGCTTAGCTACAGGCAAGCTGCCCAGAGCAGGTTATGTCAGGTCACTGATTTGGTTGACAATAGTGACATCACCTATCTACCCTCATCTTTTCATTCATTCTAAACTGTTCGCTCATGTAGGACTACTCCTGTAGGAAGCCAAATTTCCATCAATATTCTGAGTCTGAGTATAGAAAGAAGCCATTTCTCCTACCTTCAAATGATTGGGCCAAACTACCTGTAAAGACAGAAGAGAGATAGAGTATTAGCTGGGCATGGAGTTTTTCAGATGCCCTGAAGTATTTCCATGGTTATTTAAGGCCAACATGAAGAAAGATCCAAATCCATGAAAATGATAGTATCCATACTTAGTTATCTGGATTGTAGACTAGATCACCCAGCTGAATTCAAGGTGATAATAAATAATTTGTCTCATCTTTGTCCTGGTATCCTGGGAGGGTGTTTCTAACCCTTGGAATTTCATGAGTGACAGGAGTGGCTTTGTTATCTGTGGTGGACCCTTAGACCATACCTGAGTTTATGCCATGGCAATGACTCAGGATGGTGCTGGTCAAGACCAGCCATATGGTAAGAGGATTGCAGCTTGGAAACTAGTGGTATCAGCCCTAGGAAGGGAACCTAGAGATTGAGATCAGTCAAGTGGTCAATGATTCAATCAATCATGCCTATGTAAAGATACCTCAATAAAAACTTAGTGGAGCTTCCTGGTTGGTGAACCCATCAATGTGCTGGCAGAGTGTGGGAGAGTGGTGGGGGTGATGTGTTCTAATTCCATGGGGAGAAAGCATGAGGCTCTGTGTTCGGGACCCTCCTGGACCTTGCCCTTTTCATTTAGCTGGTTCTGATTTTATTTTTTAATAAAACTGAAATAGGAAGCACAGCACTTTCTTAAGTTCTGTGAGTTATTCTAGCAAATTATCAATGAGAAGGGTCATGGGAATCCTTAAGATTGTAGGCAGTTTGTCAGAAGTGTGAGTGGTCTGGGGTCCCCTGAACTTGTAGCTGGCATTTAAAGTGAGGGCAATCTGGCTGGGAACCATGCTCTTAACCTGTAGGGTCTGACACTAATTTGGGGGGTTAGCATCAGAATTGTATTGTAGTATATGTAAGTAAGGATATTGCCTATCCAGTCGAGAACACTCTGCTCTTTGAGCAGCTAATGCCCTGGCAAGGAGTGGGTGTGCACTATCCAAAACCTTTAGGCTGAGTTCCTTATAAAATCTTCAGCCTTGGTGATCCTTTTCTTGTAGAAACCCTGGATGTCCCAGGGAAATTAGCTATTCAATTAGTCCTCAAATCTATCTCAAAACTCAGAGTTGACTGGGAGCAGCGGCTCACGCCTGTAATCCCAGCACTTTGGGACACTGAGGTGGGCAGATTGCTTGAGCCTAGGAGTTAGAGACCAGCCTGGGCAACATGGTGAAACCCTGTCTCTACAAAAAAATACAAAAACATTAGGCGGGCATGGTGGTATGCACCTGTAGTCCCAGCTACTCAGGAGGCTAAAGTGGAAGGAACAGTTGAGCCTGGGAGGTGGAGGTTGCAGTGAGCCGAGATTGCACCACTGCACTCCAGCCTAGGTGTCAAAGCAAGACTCTGTCTCAAAAAACAAAAACAAACAAACAAACAAACCTTAGGGTAGTAGAGTTGCGTGGTAGACATACTACAGAGATCTGGCACTTGGATTCAATTCAGTTAGATTTAATCCAAGCATTTAACGAGCACTATTATGACCTAAAATAATTAGATATTATGAAAGAAAAGAGTGCTGATATGAAGAATCAACTGCTGCTTCCAAAGTTTATGACGAAGTGAAAAAATTAAAACATATATGCAATTAATTTAATAGAACATATACATTATCTTTTAGTGCTTATATGACTGCATATGAAAAAAGGGTAGAAGCTATTAATTTTGACCAAGGGTGAGGGTCAGGGAAAGCTTAATAGAGGAAATGACATTTGTCTGGGCCCTGAAGAGTAAGCAGGAATGTACCAGACACAGAAAGGCATTCTGAGTAGAAAGAATAGCTGAATAAGATACAGCTTTGAAAAAGGACAAGAGAGGTAGTGTGGCTAGAGGTGGAGTGTGTGTGATAGGGAGAGGTGGTCATGAGTCAAAGTATAATGGAAATAAAAGAAGTGAACCGTCTTAGAACCTCATGCAGAGCTGGATTATCTTTGAACAGTATCCAGTGCAGTGTCTGGAACATGGTAGGAACTTTATTTGTTGAATGAATGTACAAATGAATAAATGAGCAAATGGGAGAAAAAGCAAGACAAACAGATAAATAAGTTTCTAACTAGTTATTCTCCTGGTCAGAAGACTGAGAGAAAACAAAGACCCCTCATTCTAAATTGGATTCAGGAAAGGAGATTGCACTGATCGTTGACATAGTTTTTAAAATTTTTTTCCGAGACATCTTTTTTTTTTTTTCCTTTCTCTGTCACTCAGGCTGAAGTGCAGTGGTGCGATCATGACTCACTGCAGCCTTGACCTCCTGGGCTCAAGCAATCCTCCCACTTCAGCTTCCCAAGTAGCTGGCATAAGTGCATGCCACCATGCCTGGCTAATTTTTGTAGTTTTTGTAGACACAGGGTATCCCTATTTTGCCCAGGTTGGTCTTAAACTCCTGGGCTCAAATGATCCTCCCTCCCTGGCCTCCCAAAGTGTTGGGATTGTAGCCTTGAGCCACTGTGCCTGGCCCATTGACATCTTTTAATGTTGCATATCTGAGTGAGATTTCCTTTTAGGACTTAAGACGTCATGTAGCCACATTTCTTTTTGTTTGTTTGTTTGTTTGTTTGTTTGTTTTGAGACAGAGTCTCACTCTGTCGCAGAAGCTGGAGTGCAGTGGGCACCGTGTTGGATCACTGCAACCTCCATCTCCTGGGTTCAAGCAATTCTCCTGCCTCAGCCTCCTGAGTAGCTGGGATTACAGGTGCCCACCACCACGCCCAGCTAATTTAAAAAATATTTTTAGTAGAGATGGGGTTTTACCATGTTGACCAGGATGGTCTCGAACTCCTGACCTCAGGTGATCCACCCGCCTCGACCTCCCAAAGTGCTGGGATTACAGGCGTGAGCCACCACGCCCATCCCTGCCACATTTCTGGATTGGCTGACATGAGAACTCCCAGACAGTGGAGGAGTTGTTCAAGTACACATAGCTCATTATGTGCCCGAGCTGGATCCAGAGCTCAGGTTTTCTACTGCTCAACTCAATGCTCTTCCCACGATATGTAGCCACCTCACCTAGGCTTGAGAGTTGCTCCTCAACCTGTGTTGTCTTTAGCTGACTTTTCCTCCCATTTCTCTCAGAAATAATTCTATTCTAAACTCTCACTGTCCTCTTCAAGTCTCCCAACCGGCCATCACCCAGCTCAGTTTCTGCAGGTGGCATTGCCTCCCACCTGGATTTTTTTAGAACATGGAAGCTGTTATTGTCCTTTCTCCTTTAGCTTCCTTTCCCTTTATAAACCTATCTGTGGCCAGCGCCGTTTGCACTTCCTTTCTCCCGGTCTTAGAGGGTAACGTTGCCTTCCCCTCTGTGCTCTTGACCCCACTCTTGACTCTGTCCTTCCACCATCAACTCCAGGACCCTGCTCTACTCATCATCTTCTCCTTTAGCTTAGAAATGTGCTCACGTTTCTCTCACCCTCAGAAACATTTATTCTTAGACTCTACTTCCTCCTCGACCTACCACCCAGTCTTTTCTCCCTCCTCATCCAAATTTCTTTAAAGAATAGTCTACACTTGCTGACCTCATCACCTGACCTTCACCTTCTACCAATTTTCACTTGGCTTCCACTCTCAATATCCCACTGAAACTGTGCTAAATCACCCATGATGCATATTCTGCCATATCCCACAGACTTAAACTTTTACATACGTTCTTATATTAGTAGGCTCTCTTTAACATTTTATACTCTTGGTAATTCTCTCCTTCTAGAAGCTCTCTACTCCCTTGGTTTCCAAGGTAGTGCATACATTTGATTATTTCAGCTCTTTGATTCTCCTTTTATCTCTTTCCTGGAATTTTTTTTTCTCTAACTGCCCCTTAAAATTGGTGCCTGCACTGTTCCATCTTTAGCCCCCTCTTCCTCATATAGTACTTATGTGACTTCAGCAAATTCCATGGTTTTAACTTTCCCAGTATGTCCAGACTCCTGGCATCAACCCAGTTCATTCACTTCCTGTTGGATATTTCCAACGGAGTATTCACGCAGGCACCTATGCTGTACCATACACTCAGTCTGGCACCATGAAAACTAATCTCTCCAATGAGACTTATTCATTTTTATTTCCTCATGGCATATCACATATTAGGATCTCACCCATCTTTGTTGACCAGTTGGCCAACTGCCCAACAGAGTGAATGGACGTTTCATAGGTCGACTGCTAACCCCCAGCTCTGAAGTAGGGAACATATACTTTTTCCTTTTAGTTTCCTGGCTTATGCCCTTTTGGGCTGCGTTCAAATCTAAGATGGTGGTAACAGGGTCCTCTCTTTAGCCAGTGAAGTACTCTGTTTGCATTTTTCAGAGACAAAGATTCTTTCTCCTCCACGGGACACTGTTTCTCTCTAGCAGAGAACAGTTAAGAGGCTCCATTTTGCCCTTCTTTGAACTCTAAGGTGACAGCAGAGGTAGGCTCAAGGTTAGGGATCCCAATATTCCTGTCTCACTAGTGATGGGCTCTTCCCTTGAGCCCTTCCCCAGGCTGCCAGACCCCTAGTAGGCCCTTACCTTGAAGAAGAATGATAGCCAGGATGAAGCCAGTCAGGCCCTTCCCCTGTTCCATGTCAGTCTCTGTCCTCTGGCAAAAGCACAGAGCAGCCCTTAGCAGCCAGCCAGCCTGTGCAGCAGCTAGACTGGCTCCGCCCATCCCCGTTCGGGCTGGAGCCCTTGAGAGAAGGCAAGAACCCAGAGCCTCCACCCTCTGCTGCAAGTGTGGGTAGCAGGGGCCTCAGCAGGGCTGCAGGTGCAGACGCCTTTTATTTTTCCGTTAAGGAGGGTAGAGGCGGTGGGGAAGGAGAGGAAGAGAGTGCTGGATTCCCACTCAGAGATTCATCTTGTACAGGGAACTGCAACGGATGCTGGGTGGGAGATGGTACTGGGACCATTTCTTCATGAGGGGGATAAATATCCCTGTCATTAGTTGTTAGGATTGTAGCCAGTTGTTACTCGTTGTTAGTTGTTATTGCTATAGGTAATGAATTTGGAGGAACTCTCAGCTGCTTGGGGCCAGACCTCCGAATGGAAAGCCACTTCAGTCCAGGCCTTCATTCGGGAATTTTTTTCACTTTTTTTTTTTTTTTTTCTTTTTTAAGACAGAGTCTCACTTTGTTGCCCAGGCTGGAGTGCAGTGGCACTGTCTCAGCTCACTGCAACCTCCGCCTCCTGGGTTCAAGCGATTCTGCTGCCTCAGCCTCCTGAGTAGCTGGGATTACAGGCATGCGCCACCAAATTGTTGTATTTTTAGTAGAGACGGGGTTTCACCATGTTGGTCAGGCTGGTCTCAAACTCCTGACCTTGTGATCCGCCTGCCTCAGCCTCCCAAAGTGTTGGGATTATAGGCGTGAGACACGGCACCTGGCTTCACCGTTCTTTTGAGATCATGAAATAGGCGCCTGGAAGGGAATAGGTGGAACAATTCTGAGGACAGGCCAGCACATTTTCAGGGGCCAGAGTCCGGACTGAATGTCTAGGATCTCAGGCCCCTGTCTCCCTCAGCTAGTCAGTCAGTGAGCCAGCAAAAATGTGCAGAGCTCCCATTATGTGCCAGGCACAAGATACAGCAGTGAGAAAGACAGGCATGACTCTGTTCCCAGGTAAGTGACAGTCTAACTGCAGCAGTGTGAAGAGTTTCAGATCCTTGTAGGCCACAGGGGAAAAAGGTCCATTTGTCTCCCCGGGAGGCTCAATATTGCCTGTGAGTCAACTATATTATTATTAATAACTACCCCTTATTGAGCACATATGATGTGTGAGGCACCATGCAAACATCTTGTTTGAATCCTGATAATGGTGCTAATGGAATAAGACTCTGAAAAATTTCATGGCTGGCCCAGGCCCCACAGGTAGGCAGTATTGGACCCAGGATTCAAATCTCTGGCTGGGGTCCCTAAAGCCCAGCCTCCCAGTGACAAGAAGCTGCTAGAGCTGGTCCCTGGCTGCCTAGTGAAGGGTCCTGAGAAAGATCAACCTTCATGAGAAGTATAGCTGCTATGGCTTGTGCTATGGGGCCGATGGCTTCTCTCAAGGGGCTTCGAGATGTGGCGGATTTTAGGTGATGCGTAAATGTAGTTGCATTGTCAATAGGGACGCTAAAGTTCATGCCACCTTTTCCATGTTTTCTACCAGCTCCCTGCTCAGAGATAGAGCAATTTACACCTGCTTCCTTCCTACCCTACCACTAGCCCACCCCCACCCTGACAATTTCCCATCATCAACGGCAGAAAGCAGAGAAGCAGACATCTTCTAGTTCCTCCCCCACTCTCCTCTTTCCGGTACCTGTGAGTCAGCTGGGGGAGGGCAGCTCTCACCCAGGCTGATAGTTCGGTGACCTGGCTTTATCTACTGGATGAGTTCCGCTGGGAGATGGAACATAGCACGTTTCTGTCTGGACTGGTACTGGCTACCCTTCTCTCCCAAGGTAAAGCTACTCCAGGTGGGTGGGGGAAGGGACCTGAGAGGGACATTACTGTTGGGAGTGAGGCCCACTTGAAAGTGTTTCTTGCCAGGCACGGTGGCTCACACCAGTAATCCCAGAGCTTTGGGAGGCTGAAGTGGGAGGATCCCTTGAGGCCAGGAGTTTGAGACCAGTCTGAGCAACACGATGAGACTCTATCTTTACAAAAAACAAAAGAATGAGCCAGGCGTGGTGGTGCACAGCTGTAGTCCCAGCTACTTGAGAGGCTGAGGCAGGAGGGTCAATTGAGTCTGGGATTTCAAGGCTTCAGTGAGATGTGATCATGCCACTGCCCTCCAACTTGGGCAACCCCACGAGACCTTATCTCAAAAAAAAAAAAAAGTGCTTCTCGGTGCTAGCTTCAATTCACCAGGCACCCCAGGGTGTCAGGAGGGCAGGGCCAGGATGTAGCATAGAGTCTGGGAAACAGGCTCTTGGCTTTGACTGACTCCAGCCACGGGTGCATGTGGGCCTAGAATGTCTCTCAGAAGGCCTTAGGCCAGAGATCTGTAGGAAATAGCTCAGTATGTATGTACCTGAATCTGGGACTGGCCATGGGAGCACAACTTCCTGCACTACTCCTTTTAGGGCTGATGGCCTCTGGAATCAGGACTCTTGTTTGTTTGGCCATGATTATGTCACCCCTGGAGGCATGTCCTAGCACTCATGGGACTGCTTTAAAAGAGAAGTTAACTTTAGGTTGAGCAGGAGGGAGGGAAGATTTGAGGGGTTGTTACATGGGAGGATTTTAACTCATCTCAGTTTGCCAATTTCAGCTTTAAAATGGAAAGTCCCATGTCCCAGAAACCCCTTCAATGCTAAGCAAACTGGGTCCAATGGTCACCTGATAGTCGACTGCACTAGGACACTCAGGATTTCCACTGGAGACAGATCCCTGAAGAGGACGTGACTGTAGGATGTGAAACATTTGATGTGCTTGTGTCTCCCTGAGTATACATGTATACACTTCCAACCTGCTTCAGAAGTGTGAGCAGCAGCTATTTCAGGGTTTTCTAGAAGATGCTCTTGTATCCAAATTTGTGACTGAGTGTGAAGCCCAGGAAGAATGAATGTAGACTCCACTTTTCCCTGTGTTTGGAGGCATAGACTGTAGTGCCTCTGTGGCCTGTGGAGATGTGCTCAGACTTTCAAAGGAACTCACTGCATCTGGAATGTTGCTGCACCCACCTCCAGCCCTAAAAGTCTCCCACAAGACTTGACTTGTGAGGAGCTCTAGGGATGGATTCAAGAATTTTTTTTTCCTGTTCTCCTCCTTCTAACCAAGGGTGGAAAACTGTACCTGGGATTTGCCCTGGTCCCCTTCTGGACCACTGAGCTGGTCCAGAATTCAGGAACTGGTAAACCAGCTGGTCTCCATCCACAGCCATCCCTGACCCTGGGAAAGGCTTCAGTATTGAGAGCCCCACTTTCTTGGTTGTTAATGGAGCAGGGGCAGTGAGGAACGATGAGAACAAGAAGCTGAAGTGGGAGTGTTGTAGATGGCTGGAAAGTAGTATTAGATGTTTTCTTGAAGAAAAAATGCAGACATTTCCAACCAAGGAATGTTATTCTGTCTTTCCATATCTTCCGGGTGCTTCAGTGGTCCATGCTCCCCCTACTCCTCATCAGCGGTCTGGATTCATTTCCAGGAAAGTGCTTGGATCAATCCTGCTCTGAGGGGTCCTCTTTTGCACCAAGGCCCCAAGACTTGTCCTCTGCTTGAGTGACATCCTCATGTCCCCCTTGACCCATGCAGTTGGTGGGAAACTTTCTGAAGGCTTTTTCTTGTGACTTCTGTCTCTCTTAATAGAAACCATAAACCGTCCTGGACCAGGAAAATGGTCTCTGTTAAGTATGAGCTTCCGCAGAACAAAGGGCTTGGTGCAGACCAAAGAACTGTCTCCAATTGTGATATTTTTTCCCCTTTAGTGAGCCCCTTCAAGATACCTGTAGAGGAACTTGAGGACAGAGTGTTTGTGAAATGCAATACCAGCGTCACATGGGTAGAGGGAACGGTGGGAACACTGCTCACAAATAATACAAGACTGGACCTGGGAAAACGCATCCTGGACCCACGAGGAATATATAGGTGTAATGGGACAGATATATACAAGGACAAAGAATCTACTGTGCAAGTTCATTATCGAAGTATGTGCTTCCTGAATCTTTTGGGTTGGAATGGATGGGGCTTCTGGATGTGAGAACTTTCTGGCTAGAGAGGGTTGTGGTGAGCCCATCTGTTCTCTAAACAAGGTGAGGCCACTCTTGTAATGGTATGAGCCAGATTTGGGGACCTTCAAAGTGGAAGAGAGAGCTTAACTCAGAAAGACAGAGCAGTAGGGGTCATGTTAGTGCAGCCTCGGTTGGGTGAGAGGTTTGGCCCACCACCTTGTTCAAGGTCCCCCACAAAGCTGAGATTGCTTCTTGGCTCTTCTCAGGGATTCCTTGGGATGCAGGGTGGAGGAAGATGTGGCAAGGCCATCACTAGGCCTTTCTCCCAGAGTCTTATTGAAGATTGGGTTTTGGCATGAGCGATCTAAGGGTTGCCCTAGGAGGCAGAGATGGTTCCCTGATCTTAAAGGCTCTCAACCTCTCCTCTCTCCTCCCTTCCCCCACAGTGTGCCAGAACTGTGTGGAGCTGGATCCAGCCACCCTGGCTGGCATCATTGTCACTGATGTCATTGCCACTGTGCTCCTTGCTTTGGGAGTCTTCTGCTTTGCTGGACATGAGACTGGAAGGCTCTCTGGGGGTTAGTGGAAGAGCTGAGCGTGTGTGTGTGTGTATGTGTGTGTGTGTCTGTACCAGTGAGCTTATGCACCAGTTAAGGAATGGGGCAGGTGGTAGGTTTAGTCTCAGCTGGGAGTTACTCTTGCAATCTCCTAAAGACTCCTAGAACTTTGACTGTTGAGAGAACTTGTGTGTTCATATCACTCATGCAGACTTCTGAGGGTGTGGGAGGGTGGATCTCACTGTCCCATCTGCTAGGCCGTTGATGTCTCTCTCTGGTTCTTCTAGCTGCCGACACACAAGCTCTATTGAGGAATGACCAGGTCTATCAGGTGAGCCTTGAGGGGAAGGAGGGCTGACACTGAATGCTGTTTGCACGTGGGAAGGGTCCTACTGGGGAGTTCATCGCTGGGTGTGACTGGAGAGGTCAGACAGGAACTCTCATCGTCGGGGCCTGCTGGGGCCCTTCCTCAAAGAGTTCTAACCCTGCCTCCTCACCGTTTGCTCTTCTCCTC